AGGAATCCACTGAGAGAAGTATAAAACAGATGACTAGGGAATGAGCAGTTTAAAATTCCTATTAATTAGTAATTAGGGCTAAAATGAAGCCCATTTTGGATCCAGAATATTTTAACAGTGGTAGAAGAAATTGAGGGAAAAATGGTAAAAGATGGCAGAAGATGGTCTTTGACAGAGGTGCACGGAAAAGAACTTCCCAGGAGGCCGATCATCTCAAATGCTGATGATGACTGCAAATGCCTCAACATAGAGATGAAGCATTTGATCTCAACGTAGAAATCACTGGTGGATCGTTCCTTGGATTTTCTAGTCTTAAATGTTAAATTAGACTCTGTCATTCAAGCAGGAAACCAAGAGCGTAAGACAAATCAAAAATTCAGCAAATCTATTTGCCTCATGACTATTCCTCTTGAATGCTGTCCTTCCTATTAAAGCATCCATTTGTATTTTGCATGATCGAATGCTTTGAATCCTACAACCTGGCAAAATTATTCAAAGTGCAAAAATGTTCTTCCTAGGTTTTGTCTTAATTTACTTTTAATGAAAATATGCCTTTTGGTTCAATTCTCTGGGTTTTAAAAATCTATTCAAAATTTATTTCTTTTTTCTATACTTCAGTAATCCCATTTTACCTATCTCCGTATATAACGGACTAAACTTACTGGTGCAGAGAACACTTAAAGAGAGAACACTGCGAAACTAAAAAAACCTAATTAATTTTAAATAATTAACTAAGTAGAGATGGCAGGTTGGTTGATGTGTTGTAGCTGTATGGTGTGGGAGCTAGCTGATCCCATTGAGAACGGCAGTTACCACATCTGCAGCAAGTGTTGGCTGCTTGAGGAGCTCCGGCTCAAAATTGATGAGCTGGAATCCGAACTCCAAACACTGCGGCACATCCGGGAGGGGGAGAGATACCTGGATGCTGTGTTCCAGGAGGCAGTCACACCTAGTAGATTAACTAATGTTAATTTGATCGGCGACCAGGGACAGCAGTGTGTGACTGTGAGTGAGGCAGATAGAGGAGCCCTGCAGTCAGGAACACAGGAGCTGCAGCCCTTGACATTGTCCCACAGGTATGAGGTACTTACTCCCTGCGTGGATGAGGAACAGGGCTGCAGGAAGGATGAGTCAACTGACAATGGCATCATGGTTCAGGAAGCCATTCAAGACGTGGGAGCTAAAGGACAGATTGTAGTTATAGGGGATTCCATCATCCGGGGGATAGACAGTATCCTTTGCAAGCAGGATAGAGAGTTCCGCATGATGTGTTGCCTGCCCGGTGCCAGGGTGCGAGACATCTCAGACCGGCTTGAGAGGATACTAGGGAGGGAGGGAGAGGATCAAGTTGTTGTGGTCCACGTAGGTACCAACAACATAGACAGGACGAGGAAAAAAGACATGTTTCGGGATTATGAAAAGCTAGGAACAAAATTAAAAAACAGGTCTTCAAGGGTCATAACCTCTGGATTGCTGCCCGAGCCACGTGCAAATTGGCATAGGGAGGCGAGGATGAGGGAAGTAAACACGTGGCTAAAAGAGTGGTGTGGGAAAGAGGGTTTCCTTTTCATGGGACACTGGCATCAGTTCTGGGACAGGAGAGATCTATACCGCTGGGATGGACTCCACCTGAACAGGGCCGGGTCCAGTGTTCTGGCGAAAAGGGTAAATAGGGTGGTCAATAGGACTTTAAACTAGTAAGCAGGGGGGAAGGGACGAGTGAGCATACAGGGAGTATAACAATAAATGGAAGGCAAAGCAGCAGGTTAGCAGGTGACAAGGAAGCTTCAACTCCATTGAAAATTAGGAAAAAAGTTAAAGGGAAGGAGAACTCAGGAGCTGTTAGTAATGGAGGTGATAGGACTCAAAAAGAAGGTGCAAAAACTGGCATTAGGGCACTTTATCTGAATGCTCAGAGCATTCGAAACAAGGTGGATGAGTTGACGGCGCAAATCATGGCAAATGGGTATGATTTAGTGGCCTTTACAGAGACATAGTTGCAGGATGGTCATGACTGGGAGTTAAATATCCAGGGGTATCAAACTGTTCGGAAGGACAGACAGGAAGGTAAGGGAGGTGGTGTCGCTCTGATTTTTAAGGATGATATCAGGGCGGTAGTGAGAGATGATATAGGTTCTACTGAACAAAAGGTTGAATCCATTTGGATGGAAATTAGGAATAGCAGGGAGAAGAAGTCACTGATAGGTGTGGTCTATAGGCCACCAAATAATGACATTGTGGTGGGGCGGGCAATAAACATAGAAATAACTAATGCATGTAAAAATGGTACAGCAATTATCATGGGGGATTTTGATCTACATATCGATTGGTCAAACCAGGTCGGTCATGGCAGCCTTGAGGAGGGGTTCATAGAATGCATCCGCGATAATTTCCTTGAACAATATGTAATGGAACCTACAAGGGAGCAAGCTATCCTAGATCTAGTCCTGGGGGTAATGAGACAGGAATAATTAATGATCTCACAGTTAGGAATCTTCTCGGAAGGAGCGATCATAATATGGTCGAATTTAAAATACAGATGAAGCGTGAGAAGGTTAAATCCAGTACCAATGTCCTGTGCTTAAACAAAGGAGACTATGTTGGGATGAGGGAGGAGTTAGCTGAGGTAGAATGGGAGCAAAAACTTTATGGTGGGTCAATTGAGGAACAGTGGAGGACTTTCAAAACGATTTTTCACAGTGCTCAGCAGAAGTATATTCCAGTGATAAGGAAGAACTGTAGGAAATGAAATAGTCAGCCATGGATGTCTAAGGAAATAAAGGAAAGTATCAGATTGAAAAAAAACACAAACAAAAAAAGCAAAGAGTAGTGGGAAACTAGTAGACTGGGAAATCTTTAAAGGCCAACAGAAAGCCACAAAAAACGTTATAAAGAAAAATAAGATAGATTATGAGAGTAAACTAGCTCAGAATATAAAACCAGGCAGCAAAAGTTTCTATAAATATGTAAATCGTAAAAGAGTGGTGAAGGTAAACATTGGTCGTTTAGAGGTTGAGAAGGCCAATTTAATAACTGGGAATGAGGAAATAGCTGAGGCATTAAACAGTTATTTTGTGTTGGTCTTCACAGTGGAAGACACAAATAACATGCCAAAAACTGATGGCAAGAAGGTTATAGCAGGTGAGGACCTAGAAACTATCATTATCATGATGGAGGCAGTGCTGGGCAAGCCAATGGGGCTAAAGGTAGATAAGTCTCCTGGCCCTGATGAAATGCATCCCAGGGTACTAAAAGAGGTGATGGGGGAAATAGCAAATGCACTAATAATTATTTACCAAAATTCACTGGACTCTGGGGTGGTTCCCACAGATTGGAAAAAAGCCAATGTGACTCCACTGTTTAAAAAAGGAAGTAGACAAAAAGCAGGTAACTTTAGGCCAGTTAGCTGAACTTCGGTAGTGGGGAAAATGCTTGAATCTATCATTCAGGAAGGAATAGCAAGATGTTTGGATATAAATAGTCCCATTGGGAATACCCAGCATGGGTTCATGAAGGGTAGGTCATGTTTAACTAATTTGGTGGAATTCTTTGAGGACATTACTTGTATGGTGGACAATGGGGAACCTGTGGATGTGGTGTATCTGGATTTCCAGAAGGCATTTGACAAGGTGCCACACCAAAGGCTGCTACATAAGATAAAGTTGCACGGTATTACAGGTAATGTATTGGCATGGATAGAGTATTGGTTGACCAGTAGAAAACAAAGAGTAGGGGTAGATGAGTGTTTTTCTGGTTGGCGGTCAGTGGCTAGTGGTGTGCCTCAGGGATCAGTGTTGGGACCGCAATTGTTTACAATTTACACAGATGATTTGGAGTTGGGGACTAAGTGTGGTGTGTCAAAATTTGCAGATGACACTCAGGTGAGTGGTAGAGCAAAGTGTGCAGAAGACACTGAAAGTCTGCAGAGGGATATAGATAGTCTAAGTGAGTGGGCAAAGGTCTGGCAGATGGAGTACAATGTTGATAAGTGTGAGGTCATCCATTTTGGTAGGAATAACAGCAAAATGGACAATGTTTTAAATGGTAAAAATTTGCAGCATGCTGCTGTGCAGAGGGACTTGGGTGTCCTTGTGCATGAATCGCTAAAAGTAGGATTGCAGATGCAGCAGGTAATTAAAAAGGCAAATGGAATTTTGTCTGCCATTGCTAGAGGGATGGAGTTTAAAAACGGGGAGGCTATGCTGCAGCTCAATAGGGTCATGGTGAGGCCACACCTGGAGTACTGTGTGCAGTTTTGGTCTCCTTACTTGAGAAGAGATATACTAGCACTGGAGGGGGTGCAGAGGAGACTCACTCGGTTGATTCCAGAGTTGAGAGCATTGGATTTTGAGGAGAGACTGAGTAGGCTGGGATTATACTCATTGTAATTCAGAAGAATGAGGGGAGATCTTATAGAAACATATAAGGTAATGAAGGGAATAGATAAGGTGGAGGCAGGGAGGTTGTTTCCACTAGCAGGTGAAACTAGGACAAGGGGACACTGCCTCAAAGTAAAGGGAAGCAGATGTAGGACTGAGGTCAGGAGGAACTTCTTCACCCAAAGGGTTGTGAATCTGTGGAATTCCCTGCCCAGTGAAGCAGTTGAAGCTACCTCGCTGAATGTTTTTAAGGCAAGGCTAGATAAATTTTGAACCGTAAAGGAATTAAGGGTTTTGGTGAGCGGGCGGGTAAGTGGAGCTGAGTCTCAACAAGATCAGCCATGATCTTATTGAATGGCGGGGCAGGCTCGAGGGGGCCAGATGGCCTGCTCCTGCTCCTAGTTCTTATGTTCTTATGTACATGTTACCAATCAAAACTGAGGTTCTCCAATCCTTCCTCCTAGCTTATCTTGTTTCCACTTGGAATCAGTCTTTTCATTGTTTTCTGGAGCCTCTCTTATACTCATATTTCTTTCTAATTAAACAATCCAGCACTTCTGTGTTGCTAAAATATTTCAAAACAAAGTTGACATTATTCTAATGAATCCTTTATGTTGACAGGTAGAAAATTTAAAGAAAACCAGACAGTGGTATAAAAGTGCATTGGAAGAAGCCAAGGTGTTCTCAAGACTTAGTTCTGAAGAGAGACTCAGAATGTGCCATCTGAGCCATCAAGGTAAAATACCTCTGGCTGGGAGTTAATCAATAACTAATATTAGGAAACAGCTATGGGGTAAATTAGGCTACTGAATATCGTACAGTGAAACATTAATATATTAAAGTTCAAGGAAGTACTGACAAACAGTTGTAGATCTTATTAAGCAACCTGTTCAGAGATGTTATTATACACCTCTAGAAGAAGTGAGAATTAATCCAGGCCACCTGGCTTAGAGATAGGGACACTATCACTGCAAAGATCCTAAAATCAGCTGCTCAGTTACATTACGGCACTGGGGTAGGTGGGACTTGAATCAGGCTCTCTGACTCAGAGATAGTGCCGCTAACACTTCATCACAAGAGCTCAGCAAAGGTTATGTCTCTGGATGGTCTCTTTTCAGACTTCTGCACTATGTGGCACAGTGGTTAGCACTGCTGCCCCTCAACACCGCGGAACAGGGTTCGTTTCCAGCCTTGGGTGACTGTATGGAGTTTGCACATTCTCCCCATGTCTGCATGGGTCCCCTCTGGGTGCTCTGGTTTCCTCCCACAGTCCAAAGATCTGCAGGTTAGGGGGAGTGGCCATGGTAAAAACCATATATGGGGTTGTAGGAGTGGTGAGTTTGGGTGGTATGCAGTTCGGAGGGTTGGTGCAGACTCAGTGGGTCAAAATGCCTCGTCTAGCATTGCAAAGATTCAATATCTTGCTCTACTCCACTTTAGCCTCTGTACTACATTCTTTCCCAGCTGCTCACTTTGCTGAACCCATCACAACATACATTTATAAAGGAAGGCAGTGGCATAATAGTGATGGTAATCCAAAGTCACAGGCTAATGGTCCGGGGACAGAAGCACAAACCCTACCATGACAACTGATGATATTTGAATTCAAATAATTAATTTGGCTTTACAAGTTATTCCCAGTAATGGTGACCGTTAAATCATTGTTGAGTGTCATCACAATTAATTGGCTCACTCATTTCCTTTAGAAAAGGGAAACTGACACCCTCAAGGTTGGGCCCTCAAAAATGTAACTGAATTTTAAATGTCCCATGAAAAGGCCTAGCAAGTCATTCAAGCCACTGTAAAGTCTAACAGGAATGAAACTCGATGAACCACCCTACATCAACCTGGGAACCAGAAACAATAACTGCAAACCTAGCTCTATTTACCCTGGAAAATGTTACTAAGTTCTGAAGGCTTGTGCCAAAATTGGGCGAGCCCAATTTTGGGCTCCATAGCTACCTCTTAGTCAAGTAGCGGCCTGACAAAGTCAAGTAATTGAATCATAAAGTATACAGCTGCTAGATTGGTTGTGGCAGGTTGTGAGGAAATTAGTAAGAGGGAAAATGAACTTGACCTTTGTCCTTACGAAATTACCTGTAGCAGATGGATCTGTTCATGTCAATATTTGTGGGAGTAACAGCGTACTGTCCTTATGGAGACAAAATCCTTTCTTCACCTAGCTCAGGTATGTCTTTTTTTAAATTCATTCACAGGATGAGGGTGTCGCTGGCTAGGCCAGCATTTATCGCCCATCATTAATTGCCAGAGGGCAGTTAAGAGTCAACCACTTTGTTGTGGGTCTGGAATCACATGTAGGCCAGACCAGCGAAGGATGACAGTTTCCTTCCCTAAAGGGCATTAACGAACCAGATGGGTTTTTCCAACAATCGACAATGGATTCATAGTCAGTGTTAAGACTCTTAATTCTAGATTTGTTTTTGTGAATTCAAATTCCACCATTTGCCGTGGCGTTATTTGAACCTGGGTCCCCAGAACATTGCCTAGGTCTCTGGATTAACAGTCCAGTGATAATACCACTAGGCCATTGCCTCCTCTCTTTCTGTGCAAACAAAATAAAAGACAAATGCGACCTCGCCAATTACTGTCCCGTTTGTCTACTCTTGATTGTCAGCAAAGTGATGGAAGTTGTTGTTGAGTGTTATCAAGCTGAAGTCATTCACTAATAACCTGCTCACTGATGCTCAGTTTGGGTTCCACCAAGGCCATTCAACTCCTGGCATTATTAAAACAATGGTCTAAACATGGATAAAAGAGCTGAATTCTAGGTGAGGCGAGAGTGACTACCATTGATATCAAGGCAACATTTGACTGCGTTTGGCATCAAGAAGCTGTAACAAAACTGGGGTCAGTTTGAATCAGGGTAAGATCTTCACTGGTTGAATCATACCTAGCGCAAAGAGGAAGGTTGCCGTTGTTGGATATACACCACCAATTTCTCAAAGTAGTTCAGGATGAACAATAAATCTTAGCCTGTGCCATCCATGTCCTGTGAAACAATGCATTAAAACACTGAAAACCTTTAGAGTTAAATGGAAGTGGATGCCATGCCAATAACTGAGAGATTAGACGCATAGACTGGTGAACCATTGATTTTACAATCTAGATTTAGAATCAATCATGAAATTAATGAGTGATTTAAAAATAATCCTACTTTCCAGTGTTGCCTAGCGGTTTGTATTTAAGCCTGCTTGAAAGGTTTAATTGCTTCTCCCTTGCGGATTCTTTTCTTTTAAAAACTTATCAGTCTCTGCAGGGATTGCAGCACTTCTTTCAACAATATTTTCTGCTGGAGACTCTGGCTTACGCGGGTGAAAACGAGCCAAGGACATTAAGAAGAGCAACAAAACATTTTCAGTGGGTCCTTCTACCAACGTTGTTTTGTGGAGCTTGAGAGAAGGAGAGAATGTGAGAGAAAGGCCTACCTAGGTGGAAGCTAAAAAGGAATTTCCCAGTTATGTAGAAGGTGATAACAGTGTCAACTCTTTTCTACAAAAATTACTAATCAGTTTCTCAAGAAGCTGTAGAATCTGGCTTTGGGTTGGTACACTGGCTTAGCAGTTAGCCCTGTTGCCTCATAGCACCACGGTCCTGGGTTTAGTTCTAGCCTCGGGCGACTGTCCGTGTGGAGGTTGCACATTTTCCCCGTGTCTACACAGGTTTCCTCCCACAGCCCAAAGATGTGCAGGTCAGATGGCTAAATGCCCATAATGTCCATGGGTGTGTAGGTTGCGTGGGTTAACCACAGTAACTACAGGGTTACAGGGATAGGGTATGGGGTGGGTCGAGGAGGGTTGCTGTTTGGAGGGTCAGTGTGGACTTGATGGGCCGAATGGTCTGCTTCCACACTGTAGGAGTATTGTGAAATATTAAATGCTGTTGAAGTTTTTTGCTTTGTACTCATTGGGATAAATAGAAGAATGCCAAGTTTAAAAGGTCACAACAATTTATAGAGTACTGATTAGTTGGCTCTGACCAAGGTGTTGTCATGGAGAAAACAATGGGGAAAAGGCCCCAAATTCTCAATTAATTCAGTTAAGGGTCAAAACTTGAACATAGTCTTTTTGTTTACAGAAAGCAGATCCCTTCATATGAATGTGTGTCCATTCTAGCTAATGTTAATGAGTCATGTGTTACTAAACTGCAGAAAAGGTTCTTTTATTTAAGTTTTAAAATGACAAAAAATACCAGTCCACAATTATATTTTCCTGTGTCCCCTAAGCTGATACATTCCAGGAACAATTTCAAAGCAATTTTCAGTTTTTTTGATGACTTGCTTCCATGTTCCTTTACTATCTAGATAACTTCTAAACCCAAAACTGACTTCCATGATGAGGAACACATTGAAGAATCCTCCCTCCAGACAAACTAGGTAAATCTTACTATCTCATTTAAATCCTCACAAGTTTGGTCTTCAATCTGAACGTGTGCTCCCACACACGTTTTGCATAGCAACCAACAGGGCTTGCCATTTCTCTGCTTAAAGTACAGGACCAGCTGAAATATAACAAAAAACTGTGGATACTGGAAATCTGAAACAAAAATATAAATTGCTGGAGAAACAGCAGGCCAGGCAGCATCTGTGGAGTGAAAGGAGAGTCAATGTTTCAAGTCCAGTGATGCTTCTTCAGAACAGGGATTGCCTTTTAGAGCAGAATGTAGCAGAAGTTACCCGGAAATAGGTTATTTTAATTCAAGTAATATGTGATGAGGTAGGATTAATAAAAGATATCATAATTAAGAATCCTCTGGGGAGCAACAATCACAACACGGTAGAATTTGATATAACAAGGTGTAGAGCTGGATGAACACAGCAGGCCAGGCAGCAGCAGAGGAGCAGGAAAGCTGACGTTTCGGGTCTGGACCTGATGCTGCCTGGCCTGCTGTGTTCATCCAGTTTTACACCTTGTTATCTCAGATTCCCCAGCATCGGCATTTCCCACTATCTCACGGTAGAATTTGATCTTCAAATTTGAAGGAAAGCAATTTGAGTCTTAACAATTGCCGACAACCTAAATAAGGACAACTACAGAAGTATGAAAAAAAGGCTGTCCAAAGTGTTAAATAAAGGTAAAATGCTGCAAATGCTGAAATCAGAAACAGAGAAAGCTAGAGAGTTTCAACAGATCTGGCAGTAAATATGCAGAGAGAAACAGAGTTAATGTTTTGAATCTGTTATGACTCTTTTGCGGACCTGTTTAATTTCTCCAGCATTAGCTGTAGTTTTCGAAAGTGGGCTGGGAAATAGACTAAGTAGAATGTCAATCAATACAGCAGTGGTGGATGTTTAAGCAGGTATTTCATAATGCTCAGCAAACATTTATTTTGGTCAAAAAGAAGGATTTTATGAGAAGGATGAACTACCTATGGTTAACAAAGATGGTAAGGAGAGTATTCAATCAAAAATCAAGGCATACAAAGCAACACAAACAAGTGGTAGGCCAGAGGAACTGGAGTATTTCAGGAACTTGCACCAGATGACTGAAAAGCTAATAAAGAAGGGAAAAATTGATGTTGAAAGTGAATGGTCGAGAAATGTAAAAACAAACAGCAAAAACTTCTACGGATATATAACAACTAAAGAGTAGATAAAGTACGTGTGGACGCTTGGAAGATGCAACTGTGTAATTAATAAAAGTGAACACTGAAATATTATAAAAGTTAAGTCAATATTGTGCATTGGTCTTCATGACAGAAGACACTATAAACATTCCA